GATACAGTAACATTTGAAATAAACGGGAATGCAATTAACTGATAAAAATGTACAAAAATAATAACAACAGAAAAGATTTTTCAACACCAAAAATTGTAAACTTTTGACTAATTTGGTGTTTTTGCAGAGAAACGCAAAAATTTCAAGTGTTTTTAACCGAAAATGAATACGATCATCGTGAATTGCCGATTACCGAAGAAGGAAGTATACTGAAAACTAACCTTTTAAAATTTGCTTTTTCTTTTTTTGCTTACAAAAGTTTGCAACTTCTCAATGAATGGTCTTTGATTTAAATGACTTTAATTCTTGCACAAAAAAAAATTTTTTCAGCCAGTTTTAATGGAATTTTAAAAGACGTCTGTTTTTTTTTAGAAGCTGTGGCTATTAATGTTTCTATTGTTGTCAGTAACATTAGAGCAGTCTCTGAAGTCACTATGGTAAGCTTCTGTGTGTGTAATCATAAATTATTAAAGTATTAAATGTAAAACAGCATTTTTTTTTTTTTTTGGTTTTCCATTATGAAAAATTTGGCTACTTATAGCCTAAAAGCTAATTTATTTAGAAAGCAGTGTCTTAAAGACATCTTCTTCATATAAAAATATTTGAAACAAAAGAAAAAAAAGAATTTTTTTTACAGACTTTATTTAAAACGACTAATAACTTACATTTGTGACAACATTTTCTTTACTTTTTGCGTTTGAAATTTGCACAGGATTACAATTTGGAATTATTTTACCGTGAAAGTTGGGTTGATCGACGACTTTCCTACGATATTACACGATTCAAGAATAAAACTGAAATTGCACTTCACGAAAGTTTTATTGACGGTATTTGGCATCCAGATACATTTATGCCAAATGCTATTGCATCTAAATATCCAATGAAAAAATCTATTTCACATCGAGCTTTATTAAGGTATAATATTTATGCAAATCTGTACTGTACAGCAGTGTAACCCAGTCAAAAATTTTCAAAAACTTCAACAATTTCAACAGAAAAATAGAATTTTTTTTTTTTTTGAGCTTGATATGGTAAAAATTTTATTTTTGTAACTGTTTTTGACACTTATATAATTTGAGGTTAAATCACGAAGGAAATCTTTTGTATAGTCGACGATTATCGGTGTTGGCTGAATGTCCAATGGATTTAACACTTTTTCCATTTGATACACAGATCTGTAAACTGGGAATTGAAAGTTGTTAGTTTTTTTTTTTTGTACAACGATTATCGCTAATTTTCCTCCTCCCCATAAACTATTTCTATATTCCATAAAAAAAATTTTTTTTTAATACAAATTAAAGTTTACTAGAAGAAAACTGTTTAAATTATTTTAATTTTTTTTTTTTTTGTTATTGCTGCAGATGGTTACACAGCAGAACAAGTAATTTATCGTTGGTCTACGGGTTCTAAGGTAGCATTAAAGCTGCATAAAATTAGGCTACCAGACTTTCAAATCAAACAGGCATATGTAACAAGTCAACTAGAAGCATATGCTACTGGTGAGCTTCGTTTTTTTTTTTGAAATTTTAGTAGACTTATT